CTGCAACCTCCGCCTCCCGGGTTCAAGCAATTCTCCTGCCTCAGCCTCCCGAGTTACTGGGATTACAGGCATACGCCACCACCCCCAGCTAACTTTTTGTATTTTTAGTAGAGACAGGGTTTCACCATGTTGGCTAGGCTGGTCTCAAACTCCTGACCTCAGATAATCTGCCAGCCTCAGCCTCCCAAAGTGCTGGGATTACAGATGCATGCCACCATGCCCGGCTAATTTTTTGTATTTTTAGGAGAGATGGGGTTTCACCGTGTTAGCCAGGATGATCTCTATCTCCTGACCCACCTACCTCCGCCTCCCAAAGTGCTGGGATTACAGGCATAAACCACCGCGCCCGGCCAATTTTTGTATTATTAGTAGAGACAGTGTTTCACCTTGTTGGCAAGGTTGGTCTGGAACTCTTGACCTCAGATGATCCACCCACCTCTACCTCCTAAAAGTGCTGGGATTATAGGCGTCAGCCACCAGCACAGCCTTTTTTTTTTCTTCAACTACAGCTATTTTCCCACATTTTTTAGTTGTTGTATAGACTGGTTTTAAAATACAATCAACCAAAAAAAAAAAAATTTCAAAAGAACAACACCCACCATAGCAAAAGAGGAAAACAATCTTAAAAAGCATAAAAAGATGACTTGGTGTATCTTTGCCAGCCTTCCCAGAGAAGGCTGAGGCTCTCCCTTCCCCATCACAGAACCTGTTCACCAAGTCAGTTAGGCTAGGGGATCCAAAAGGTCAGAGAAACACAGAATGTACCTGTGGAACACAGCAATCATAGTATGCCCTTCTTTTTTAATCATCTGAAATCTGATAAAACTAGCAATGAGTAGCTTTGAAGGAGAAAAGCAGTCATAAAAGAGCAAGTAATCCTGGGGACAAGGAGTGGCAGAGGAGGGAAGGAGTTAGGGTTGGACGGTGTGTGTTTCTAGACCTGGGTCATGTTTTAGCACCAGTCTACACTCCTAGCAAGCAATCCTTGTAACTAATATTACAGAGCACCTACTCTGTACCTGACCACACACTAGGCACCTTCACCTTCATTACCTTCAAAAAGAAAATGATTAAGACCAGACTGGGTTGGGGGGGAAATGAGAAGTAGAAAAAGAGCCCCTAAGTAAGAACAGGAAAAGAAATTAAGAGAGAAATATGGGAAGGATGTCAGAAGGAATACAGTGGAGTCACAAGCTCTCTGGGAAGGGCTCGCAGGCTATATTTCAGGATTATTGGCCCAGCCCCCATCATCATTCCGGACCTGCCAGACTCACAAAACAGTCCGAAGTTAACTCCTAGATAACAATGAAGCCCAGACCACCAGATAACAATGCACTGGCCTAAGCCTTCTGAGGATCCAGGACCTTCAGAGGGGCCTCAGAGATCTTCTCATCTATAACCCCTTCCTCTTAAAAATGAAGCCCCAACATTCAAAGAGAAGTGACTTGCCCAAGGTCACAGAGAGACAGTCAAGTCTAGACCCAGGTCTCCTGGCTCCTGTTCTATAGTATTTCCCCTGCATGGGCTGTTTCACAGTGCTCTGCCCTGGGCCACCCTCACCTGGGATGGGCCTGAGAGCTCAGCCATTTCTACAAGGCCAAAGGTTAGTTGAGGGAAGGAAGAAAAGGGTTTACTCAAGAAGGGAGGCTCAAAGTGGAATTCAAGTTTTAGAAAATGAAAGAAAAGTGCAAAGACGCAAAAATACAACTCTACAAAAAATAATGTAAGGGAGGGAGAGGTCACAACCAACTGCCAAAAGATGGTGTAATTTGAACAGGAGCATTTCATCCTCCCACCATGCCTAGGTGGACAAACTCCGAGAAACACCTGTGATCTGCAAGGAACATATCTACCTGTTCCAACAGACTGCAACATGAAAGGGTGCACACCGTGGAGAAACTCCCATTCACCAACAGATCCAGAAACATCTTACAGAACCCAGCCCAGAGTCCCAAGGACATAGCCACAAGCTGAGGTCCAATCAACATTCTGAAGCCCCACCCCCACCCCACAAACTGGACATCCCACTGGATCACTGCCATAGCAACACAGTGGCAAAAGGTGCCCCTCAAGAGACCATTCCAGGGGTCCATCTGGCAGCCACCCCTCCCAGTTGCCAATGCAACTCCTATCCTCCTATAGCACCTCCGGGGGAGCCTAAGGGTACCTGCCCTAGTCGAAATAAGCTCAAGCACAAAAGGAGATCTTTGAGCTCAAAGCAGTAACCAAGGCCTCCCTATACAGATGACAGTTCCAGGGGCCACAGATGCTAGGCAATTTGAAGGTGGAGGTTGCAACTTGCTTGGAGTGCCTATAAGGTTGCTCAATTCTCTCGTTTCCATCCTCCCAGAAACCCTTTCTTACCAACTCCCCCTTCTGTGTTCCTGTTTTCCCTCTCGTTAGTTTTGGGATAACCCACACTACTGGGCCCCCGTGCCCCTCTCCAAGAAGTAACTATGTCTGATCGGGAAAACAGGGTCAGAGGTGACATGGAGTAGGGGAATGAAAACTGAGTCACAAAGACATGGCCTTTCCACTTCCACGCTGGAAAACCTCCGGCTCTTCCCAAAGATGGACCTCTCTTTGCCCAAGCCTCCGTTTCCCCAGGTTTATCAGCCACAATCCCTCTCTTTCCACCTACCACACCCCTTTCCCGTTTCCCACTTACCGTCTATTCTAACACCCCCAACCCCGGGCTCCAGAACCCGTGTTCTGGGCCTTTGGAGCTTTTTCCTGGAGCCTTCAATGCCCCACCTCGCTGCCATCTCTCCTATCCATTCTGCCTTCGCCCCAAACCCCACTCACAGCATCCCCCGTTTTCCTCCGCCAACCCCCTCCTAGATGTTCCTCCTCTTTTGGGTCCGCAGGTCCCGGCTACCCTGTGCCCCCACAGCCCTCCTCCAGAGACCCTCCCGCCTTCCCACCTTACCGATCCTTCCGAAGCCCTGGCCCCGGTCCCTCCTCGGCGGGCCCCACCCCCTGAGCCCCCAGCGTTGGGCCAGGCAGAGCCCGCAGTGGGGGGACGGGATTGGGAAAATAACAAACGGAGGCGGCGGCGGCGGGAGGGGGAACTGGGAGGGGTGGGGGTGGGGAGCCGCAGGCCCGAGCCCGAGCGGGACAGAACCCGCGGGCCCGGGGCCCAGGCGGCCGCAGACCTTACCTGCTGCTAGCTCGGGACGGCTGGCGGGCTGCGAGCGGGATTCCGGGCTCCGGCGCCTCCGGGGGGCGGCGGCGGCGACTCCCCCGCCCCCCTCTCCTCTCCTGGGCTTCAGTCGCAGCCGCGAAGACGACGGCTGCGGCCTCGACACCCCCGGAGGGCGGCCCCCATCCCCCCTTTCCCTCGCCCGGCCCCCGGAGCAAACCCGGATCCCCGCTCTGCTCCCCACCTCCCCGGGCTGCCTCCTCCCCCCGGCCGCCCGGAATGCCCCGGGCCGCGCCGCCCGCCCCCGCCCGCCCCCGCCCGCCGCGCGCAGCCCGCACCCGCGCGATCCCGGGCCCCTCGGCCGCCTCGCCCGCGGCCCCCGCCCCTTCCCGGGCGGCCGGCCCCCTCGCCCCCCTCTGGCCCCTCCCCGAGGCCGCGGTCTCTCCGAAATGGCCCGGCCGGAGGCCCCGGCCCGGCCCGGGGCTGCAGACGGGCTGGGCGACGCGTCCGGCGACTAGCACAGGAAAGCGGACGGCGAAGGGAGGGAGCCTGGGAGAGGGGGATGGGAGAAGCGAGGAAGAGGGAGAAGGAGGGAGCGCGGAGGAACGGAGGAGAGAGGGGCCAGGAGGGAGACGCGAGGGAGGGAGCGCGAGGCAAGCCGCGAGTGGGGGGAGGGGGAGCCGGAGAGGGGAGGCGCCGCGCGAGTTGGCCGAGGCCGAGGCCGAGGGGGCCGGGGCGCGGGGAGGGCTCGCCGCGGCGGAATGTGGGGAGCCCGCGGGCCGGGCGCGGGAGAGGGCTAGGTAGGAGGGGCTGTGGGTGGTGAGGGCAGATGAGGGGAGGCTGAAGTTTGGGGGCGACCGGGTCTGTGGCAGAGGTGAAGTGGGAGGAGTTTGGGGGATCCTGGGGTAGAGATTGGGATAATGGGATTGGATTGGAAAGATGGAGCTGCCTGGGGGCTTTGTGGGTGCCTGGCGAGAAGTGAGAGAAGCTTGGGGTGAAGGGGTTTCTGGCAGAGATGGAGCCAGATGGGTTTGGGGCCTGTTACCAGAGAGAATGAGATGGAAGTTTGGAGTCATAAAGAGGGAGCAAAATTGCAAAGATGAAGACATATATGGAAGATGGGGCTTCTGGAAGACAGTAAGGCGTTTGGGGGCAGTTCATGTTGGGAAAAGAATCAGAAATGTAAGAATTGGGGGTGGGAGCCTGAAAGAAAGCTGGAGAGAGAGAAGTCCAGAGGAAATGTCAGTGAGGAGAGAGGAAGAAACTCGAGGAACCTTAAAAAGGCATGAAGGAGTTGGCCCACGTGCCAATTCTAGGGGAAATGGGTTCTGGGTTAGAAAGGAGGGCTCTGGACAGGAAAGGAGGGTGGGAGACATGGGGCTAGCTGGATTCTGGAGGTGGGGTGAGGAGGGTTTCCTTGGGCAGACGGAATGGGAGAGCAGGGATAAGAAGATTGGATGGAAATGGTAGCTGAACAAGGCCTTTGGTGGCACAATGTGGAAGAGGAAAGATCCTGGATTGGAAAAGAAAATAGAGATAGGGCCAGATGCAGTGGCTGACACCTGTAATCCCAGCACTCTGGGAGGCTGAGGTGGGCAGATCACTTGTCAGGAGTTCGAGACCAGCCTGGCCAACATGGTGAAACCTAGTCTCTACTAAAAATACAAAATTAGCCGGGTGTGGTAGCACATGCCTCTAATCCCAGCTACTCGGGAGGCTGAGGCAGGAGAATCCTTGAACCTGGGAGGCAGAGGTTTCAGTGAGCAGAGATCTTGTCACTGCACTCCAGCCTGCATGACATAGCAAGACTCCATCTCAAAACAACAAGAAAATGGAGATGGGAAAGGAGGGCAGTTGAAGGAAGTGACAGAAGGCGGGGAGCGCTGACAAGCCCATGGGTAGGTAAGGGACACAGCTTGGAGGAGACGCCATCCTCAGGCCGTCCATCTAGTGGCACCTCCATTTTCCTTCTCAAATCTGTTGAAAGTCATCACTGAAGATCCCCTGGGTCACAGGGAAGCAGTCAGGTGAGGACTGGGCTTAATATGGACCCAAATCCCCAGGTGTCCTTGTTCCTCAATCCCGCTTGTTCTAAGGTGGAGACAGTCCCCACTATAGACTGCAGGCTCCTCCCAACCCTTCCCTCTCCCTCCCCTGCTCTCCAGGTAGCCTCTGGCAGTCAGTCTGCCGCCAGCACCTCTGCCAGTCCACCACCAGTTCCTTCTCCTGGGCTCCCTCCTGGCCCTACACCAAGCAGCAACATCTCCCAGGACAAAGGACACAGGGTGATTTTTGGCAGCAGAAATTGGGAAGGCCAGAGAATGGGAGGGAGGCAGACTGGCAAACAGGAAGAGCTGGAGCTGGAGTGTGGATTCGGAGCCCTCAGTAGCGCTCCAGATTTGGGGTGGGGGTCAGGTACTTGTGGGGCCAGTCTTGCTGAAGGCTAAGGGTGGGCCCTGAACTGACAAGATCCCACCTGCCTTCAGGGAAGGAAGGAGGTTGGCTCTGGAGCAGCTCAGGAGGCTTTGTCTCACAATTCCTTGGGCCAGATTCAACTAAGTTCTGGGAATACTCAAAAGCTCTAAACAGATTCCAGAGCACTGGGGAACTGGGCACAGGAGCGGGAACACTTCCTTGGCCTGGGAATGAGTCATCACTCTGAAGCGCCTTGAATTGGTTGGCACTCACTTTACCACTCCGTGCACACCTTCCCTGCCCCTCCCAGGGCCTCCCTGAGACTAGGCCAGCTCCTGGTCTCCCTGGGTGCCCCAACTCCTTTCCTCTTGCTCTAGGATAGCTCCCATTCCTTTTCCCACCCTCGGCTTTGTTCCAGGACTCCCCCTTCCCCTCACATTCTCTCCCCATTTCATTTCCTTTCTGCACTGCTCAGTTCAGTCTCCCACTGGGCCTTGGCCCAAGCCCTTTCCAAATCCCTTCCAGGCTGAGCTCTTCTCCCTTGTTTTTTAATCACTAAGGAATGGGCTACGATGGAGACTCAAAGAAAAATTTAGGGATGTGTGGGGATAGGCCATGGTGAGAGTCACAAAAGAAACCAGTGTCTACTGTCTCCCATTCCTCCCCTACCTGTCGGCCGGCTGCAGGAAACATCACACAGGCACACCCCCTGCCATCCCTCACCCCAGCTCTCTCTCTGGCTCAGCCCCCCACAACCCACTGGTCTCCAGGCAACGGCACAAAGGGAGAGTGGAGAGAAGGGCCTGGGAGGCCCAGGCAGAGCTAGCTGTAACCCAACCCCAGTACTTTGGGGGTGGGGGCCCAGACTGTCGGAGAACCAAGCTGGGGAGGAGGGAGGAACGTAAGGACAGAGGTTAAGAACTAGCCTCAAACTGGAGTAGTCCTGGTCAGTCCAGGAGTTACTTAGGTAGGATGGGTTATCATGGACCCCAGAGAAAACTGAAAGGCACAGACAAAAGTACAGGAACCCCCAAGGGAGGCAGAAAGGGACACCAGGAGATAGGAGAAAAGGGAAAGATGAGATGCTCACACTGAAATTAAAAGGCACAGAAACGGAAAGGGGGCATGAAGCTCTTTGAACTGAAAATGGCTGAGGTATCAGGGACCCAGCAAGAAGGGCAAGAAGTGGGCCCTGTCCATACAGAACTAGAATCCTCTTTTAGCCCTCGAGCTGCGCAGGATGGCAGAGGGAGCCAGGACCAAACCATAGCAGAAGCAGAGTGGGAGGCCCACAGGAGACAGCCTTGAAATTCCTCCTGCTTAGCATCCAGTATGGCGTCCTGCAAAACTCTCGCTCCCTCTAGTGGCCAGATCTCCCATGTGCAGACCCTACCTGTGGGATGCAACCTTGCATCCAAGCCACTAGGAAGGGATTTGTTCCCATAGCTGGTACCTAGGCTGAGCATCTCAACGCTGAGGCCTCACAAGAGTTAACGAGTTATGGCTAAGGAGTAATATGTCTCGAGCCCCATACTGGAACCCCACTATTAGTCTGGCCTAGTCACGGGTCTGTGAAGCACTTTTGTTCCTGAATCTTCAGTTTATTGGAGGACTCTGTTTCCTCAGGTCCTTCTCTATGGTACCTCCAGAATCATTCTTCCCTCCCATTTTCCCGTCTTGCAGTGGTCAATGGCCATGAAGTCCTGTTCCATTCCCCAACCAGCCAGGATTTTGTTGGCAGAGGCCCAGTACAGGAGCTGGTCCAGTCCACAGGCCCGTTGGATATGAAAACACCTCAGACCCCCTTTCCCCCAAAATGCGCGTGCACACACACACACGCACGCACACACACACATGCACACACACGCATATGCACATGCACACATACTATTTTATGCTTTTAGGGGCTCCTGAACCCCTTAATTCACCTGGCCCTCGGAGCCAAGCCTACTGCTAAGAAAGCAGGGGCCACATGTACCCCACCTAGCCAGAATAGGGTAGGCAGTGCCATCATCTTGGCCCTATTTGTTCAGCTTGTCTTCCTCTTTTTGTGTCCTCCCCAGCTCTGCTATCCAGTTTTACCAGTTTCCATCTCCTCTCCCCTCATATGGCCTACAGTAAGACTCCTCAGACACAACAGTGCACGGATTCAGACTTTAATGGTGGTGTTCATTTCAATGCCACAGAGATGGTGGCAACTGTGGAACGTGGCATGGGGAGTGAGAGGTTGCTCTGGTGCAGCTGGAGGAAGAACAGGGAAACCGGGGTTGGGAGAGATGTATAGAGGAAAACTCCCCCAGGCACAGCCTCCGCTCTGGACCAACGCAGGCTTCGGTGAGTACACACAAAGGAACTGATGTCCAGGCCCTTTCTATGACCCTTCCCATTCTAGCAAGACCTCCCACCCCAGTCATCTTGGGATCTACAGCCACATGAAATACAGACACATCGTTCCCTCAAGTCAAGCCAATTTTAGGCCATAGAGTTATGGGGAAATGATGAATTAATGGGATGAACGAAAAATAAATACAATAAATAAATACATGAAAGCCTTAGCCAGGCATGATCACATCCAGCACCCCCCTCCACCCCAGCACTGCACACAGTTCATGGCTCATATGCAACATGGAAAACACATGGGACAAAAGCAAAGCACGAGGGACACGTGGTCCCTCACTAACACCTCAAGACAGCAACCCTGATGCTCCCATCGCAGACGCTAAGCATTCTTCCATGGACCCCCTTTAGAATCCTCATTCACATTTCTCATTTTTGAGGGAAGAGAGAAAGTGGAAAGTGCGGAACCCCAGTGAGTAGGGCCCAGAAAGGAGGGCGAGCAGAGACAGCAAGAGGTCGGGTAAGCCAAGGAGCAGCTGGAGCAGGTCAATCAGGGAAGTTCTGGACCCCCTGGGGCTCAGGGGATCTCAGAGGGTGAACTATCACAGATCAGGACAGCAAGGTTCCAGGAGAATGAGACAGGTTCCACGTCTCCAGGCAAGCAGAAGAATCACAGCACACTGGGATTACGGAAGTTATGTCCGGCAAAACGAGCTTCATCCCCCAGCTCTTCCTCAATTCTGAGAGAGATGAACCACAAAGGAAGTGGTCAGGGATGCAGGAGGATCCTACTTCTCTCTCTAGGGGTGCCCCAGACTCCAGTCACCCCCCACCACCTGCTTTTGTGTCCTGCCCCAAGGATGAGCATTCCCTGGCTTTCCCATGTGATCTCTGGGATCCGTGAATCAGGCCATCAGTAAACCCAGAAAGCAAAAACCAATATTAACTGGAAATGGACTGTTATCCAGGCCCTGGGTGCTAGAGATGGTCCAGCAGGTAAATGGGGCCTTTAGCCCTCTGGGCCAGGAGTTCCCATTCCCCAGGGACTCTCACCTCATGAGCTGGTTGTACTTAGCCAGACGTTCAGAACGGCACGGGGCACCAGTCTTGATCTGAAACATTTAAAAGGATTTGCAGCTCAGTGGCTGCCCTCTCACCCCTGAAAGGAGACTTCTGCTCTCCTGAAACTCCCCTGATACCCTCAAATACCTGGAAGGAGAGACCAGGTGGGTGAGCTAGAACCACCAGTCCCACAGAGTTCCCTTCACTCCCCAGGCTGCCCCACTCACCTGGCCTGTGCACAGCCCCACCACCAGGTCGGCAATGAATGTGTCCTCAGTCTCTCCTGAGCGATGACTCACCATGACCCCCCAGCCATTCTCCTGGGCCAGCTTGCACCTGTATCCACACACAGCACTGATTCTGCAGCCCTCGCACTGGGCACTCTCTTCCCAGCCCCAGCCTTGGTCTATGTCAAGAAACATCTCGGGGAAAGCTATGTGGGAGGGGAGCAGAGACTCAGGTATAGAGGGGCAGAGGTAAGAGAACTGTGATGATGATTCCCAGTTCCCTGTTCTCTTTGGCATCCCTGGGTAGAATTAGGCTGGAGCACTTGCAAGAGGAGTCTTATAGAAATGGGGCCCACTCAGAAGGCCAGAAGTCACTCACGCTTGGATGGCTTCAGTGACTGAGCCGATCTGGTTGACCTTGAGCAGCAGACAGTTGCAGGCCTTTTCTTCCACTGCCCGCTCGATACGCTTTGGGTTGGTCACTGTCAGGTCATCACCCACAATCTGGATCCCTACATTGGCTGTGAACTTGGACCAGGCAGCCCAATCATCCTGGTCAAATGGGTCCTCAATGGAGACCACTGCAGAGAGCACAGAGGGGGTGTTCATCCTCCCTTGGTCTCTACATCAGTCAGGAACACACCCCTTTACCCCCTGAAATGAACAGGCCCTTGGTTAACTACACCTGTTCATCCTTGCTGAGACAAATCCCCTGAATATAAGCCTGCCCAGTAGGCTTACATTCTACTTACTTACTGATCTGATTCTTAAGTTGTTTTTTTATTGTTTGTTTTTGATACAGAGTCTCACCCTGTCATCCAGGCTGGAGTGCAGTGGCACAATCTTGGCTCACTGTAACCTCTACCTCCCCCACTCAAGTGATCCTGCCACCTCAACCTCCTGAGTAGCTGGAACTATAGCTGTGTGGCACGATAACTATTTTTTAAAATTATTATAGAGATGAAGTCTCACTGTATTGCTCAGGCTGGTCCCAAACTCCTGGGTTCAAGCAGTCCTCCTGCTTCTGCTTCCCAAAGTGATGGGATTACAGGCATGGGCCACCACGCCTGGCTCCTGATTTTTTAATTTAATTTTATTTTATTTTTTGAGATGGAGGAGTCTTGCTCTGTCACCCAGGCTAGATAGAGTACAGTGGCGTGATCTTGGCTCACTGCAACCTCTGCCTCCCGGGTTTAAGCAATTCTCCTGCCCAGCCTCCCAAGAACTGAGATTACAGGCGCCTGCCACTGTGCCTGGCTAATTTTTGTATTTTTAGTAGAGACGGGGTTTCTCCATGTTGGCCAGCCTGGTCTCAAAATCCTGACTTTGTGATCCACCTGCCTTGGCCTCCCAAAGTGTTGGGATTACAGGCGTGAGCTACCGCGTCTGGCCCTGATTCTTACTTCACAAAACCTTACATGGAGAGGCCAGGCATGGTGGCTCATGCCTGTAATCCCAGCACTTCGGGAGACTGAGGTGGACAGATTACTTGAGGACAGTAGTTCCCTGGCCAACATAGTAAAACCCCGTCTCCACTAAAAATACAAAAATAAGCTTGGCATGGTGGTGCACACCTGTAATCCCAGCCACTGGGGAGGCTGAGGCAGGAGAATCACTTGAATCTGGGAAGCACAGACTGCACCACTGCACACCAGCCTGGGCGACAGAGCGAGACTGTCTGAAAAAAGATAAAAACAGGCCAGGCTCACACCTGAAATCCCAGCACTTTGGAAGGCCGAAGCAAGCAGATCACCTGAGGTCAGGATTTGAGACCAGCCTGGACAACATGGCGAAACCCCATCTCTACTAATAATACAAAAATTAGCCAGGCGTTGTGGTGCACACCTGTAATTCCAGCTACTTAGGAGGCTGAGAGAATCCCCTGAACCTGGGAGGTGGAGGTTGCAGCGAGCAGGAATTACACCACTTCCATGAGCTGGGTACAGCTCACTCCTGTAATCCCAGCACTCTGGGAGGCTGATGCACGTGGATCACTTGAGCTCAGGAATTCAAGACCAGCCATGAGCAACATGGCTAAACCCCACCTCTACAAAAATAAAAAAAATTAAAAACAAACCAACAAACCTTCCAGTAGTAACAAGGGTTCACAAACTTCTTCACAACCTAGCTTTTGCATTTTCCTGTTCTCACTGCCAGGAAGCCCTTCCTCAGTGCTAATCCAAATCCTTCATTCTGCAATTATGTTTATTTTCTTTCGCTCTGTTTCAGGAAGATGGAGACCAACTGCCTCCATCCTGGGCTAAAGGCCCTGGGAAGACTTGCAGAAAACATTTCAGTTCCCCTTCAGCCTTCTTTCTACTCATACGTCAGTCCCAGCTCCATTCAGCATCCACAATTTCATCAGTCAAAGATACGGAAATGTTCTAGATCCAGTCACCCTCTCACCATCCCTCCTTCCTTCCAGAGCCTACCCCATAACCCCAGTAGCTTTCAGAACCCATGACAATGGTGCCTCAGGATCTGAGGCAGAACAGGTTAGCCCCAGGTACCTGCACTTTCACCCTACATACAAAGCCCAGTCTTTGCAGGTGGCTCCTGCACCCTCTCCCTGGTTCTCAGTTTCTTCTTAGGACACCTCCACCTGGAGCCTGAGTCAGCACACCATAATGGTCAGAGTTGCTGGGACAAGTCCCTGCCTGCCCCCAGACCTCCCCCTCATACCGCTTCCTCTCACCAGGATAGTCCCTGACAAAGTCCTGGTAGAGTGCCCCCAGCTGGTCCCCAGTGATGTATCGGGAAGGATCAGCCGGAGACTTGAAGTCCAAGTCATATTTGCCATCACGATAGAACTCTGAGGCAGCAACATCCATGCCAATGACGATCTTTTCTGTGTAGCCAGCCTTGTCGATGGCTTCCTTCACCAGCTCCAAGGCTGGGGACGGAATACAGTAAGATTATTGTACAAGCAGGAGGGATGGGCGAGGAGGAGGGTAAGACAAGACAGTGAGGGCAGAGTTGGAGCCGTTCCTGAGAAAAGTGTGTCGGGGGCTGCTGTTGGGGTTATCCCCAGGTCTGGGAGGAGAGGCCATCTAGTAGGAACACAGGGTGGAATTCTGTTACTAAGATTTATTATCTTTTCGTTGGCATCATGTCACCTAAGCATTTTACACATATGATCTCATTTAATCCACACGCTGATTAGCTAGATTGTCATTGTTCCCAGAGATAAATTAAGTAAGAAAGATCGCCAGCTAATAACTCTACAAGACAAGGTTCAAATAAATCCAGGTAATTTGGCCCCAGAACCTTAACTCTTAAACACTATGTATACTGTTTCCATTTCTTACACAGTTTCTCCCAAGGCACAAAAAAATTAAGGATTCTAGAGGCCTAGGAGGTTGGGGTGGGGACAGAATAGATTTCTAATGGATTCCCTGGACTATGGTTTCTCATCAAACTGAGATGCCTACAGGGTTGAATGATGGGATGAGTCCAACAGGTCACCCAGACCATCTCCCAGTATTCCCAGGGGCTCCAGTGACAACAGATGCTAACACATGTGGAAATGCAAGTAAAAGACTGTCCCCCTAGGTCCACATGTGAATTTGGCAGGCCCTCTGCAAGCCACTCTAAGAACTGGTACCTTCTGGAGTTTGCAGAGTCTGAGGACCCTCCACGCCTCCTCAGGACTTGGTGAAGTGTGTGGTAGCTTACCCTATTGTAGCTTAGAGCTGGGAGTGGAACTCTTGGCCTCACCTTCACTGTTCTCCAGGATATTGGGGGCAAAGCCACCTTCATCTCCCACGTTGGTGGCATCCTTGCCATATTTGTCCTTGATGACTCCCTTGAGTGTATGGTAGACCTCTGCACCCAGTCTCATGGCATCCCGAAAGCTCTCGGCTCCCACTGGGAGGATCATGAACTCCTGCATGGCCAGTTTGTTCCCAGCATGAGAGCCACCATTGATCACGTTGAAGGCCTGGGGAACCACAGAAAGACAGAAGGGTCAAAGAGCTCCTCCCTGCCCGCCCTAGGAGTGTTAACTCAAGATCCCAAACTTTCCCCAGCTTCCTGGACTAAGTCTCACATCCCCATCCTTCCTCTTTACCTGCCCCAATTCACCTTCCTCCCATGATTCCTCATGAGTTGCATGCTCCCTCCCTCACCCACCCCTGGGAGAGTCACAGGCATGGCTCAGTGCTCACCGGCACAGGGAGGATGAGGTCTGAGTTCCCGGCTAGCTGAGCAATGTGGCGATATAGGGGCAGCTCCCGCTCGGCTGCCCCTGCCTTACACACGGCCAGAGACACACCCAGGATGGCATTGGCCCCAAACTTGGCTGGGAGATTATAGAGGAAGGCACTGAGCACAACGTCCCCTTCTCCTTCTAGCTCCTGCCTCCATCTGTAGTCTCCAAAAGGAGCCAGTAAAGGAGACCCCCTCCTCCCTCCCCACCCCTGCCCCAGCAACACCTCATCCATGCTCTCCGGAAAACAGCAGGGGAGAAGAATGGGTGGGGAGGAGGAGATCGGAAACATCCCTGAGACCACAGACTCTCTCAGGCCAGCCCCCTCCTCTGTATGCTAGAGAGGTCTTCCTTCTGCCTAATGTGGGTCTCTCCTCTGCAGCTAAACTCATCTCCCCTTGCCCTGGCTTTGGGAGGAGGAGGCTGCTGACAGTCATTCCTGAGGAAGCCCCTACAGCACCAGCCCTTCAGCTCTCTGTCTGCTCCACAACGCCCCCCACCAATGCTTCCCCACTTTCTCCCAGTCCCAGCTTACATTTGTTCTCAGTCCCATCCAACTCCAGCATCAGGTTGTCCAGTTTCTCTTGCTCCACCACAGAGAGACCCTGAGGGCAGAGCCTCCATCACCCAGGGCCAGGCTGGAGGCTGAGCCCTAAGGCAGAGGGTCCACTCATTCACACCCAAGCTCACATTTGGCCAGGGTCCAACCGGGTCCCTGTGACAGGGGCCTGCCTGCATGAGAGGACCTGAACCCCCATGGGAGCAGAGGGCAGTAAGGAAGCTGTTCCCCACCCTTCCCCTTGTAACCATGATTCATAAAAGTGGGCCTTCTTTCTCCCCTTCCTCCTGCCCTGCTCCGGATTCCTTCCAGAACTCTGTCCCTGCTATCCCCAGCAAAGAGCGGGCCTCACTGAGCTGATGAGGGCTGGCGCGATGGTGGAGTTGATGTGGTCCACTGCCTTCAGGACACCTGGGGAGAGGAAGAGGCTGGACTGGGTCAGGCCAGGATGGACGGAGGGGACAATGGGAGGAGGGAAGGCATGCTAGAGGAGGACTGGGGACTGGTGTGAGGTGCGGGGATAAGGCTGAGGTGGGGGAGAGTCTGGAAAAGAGAAAGGATCTCACCTTTGCCTAAGTAACGCTGTTTGTCCCCATCCCTTAGCTCAAGGGCCTCATAGATGCCGGTAGATGCTCCACTGGGCACTGCAGCCCGGAAAAGACCTAAAGGAAGAACATGGAAGGAGAGGGAGTGAAGAGGGCTATACTACCAGGCCTTCCGGCTCTAAACTCCTGCCTGCCACATCTAGCTCTCCCCCTACACTGCTCCCTAACATCCCATCCGCAACACACACACTGTGAGGCAGATACACAAGAAGTGGCCTCTTCATCCGCCCATCTGAGGCCCCACAGCACAAGTGGAGCCCGTAGAAAGGAAGCTATGCCTGGCAGGACACCTCTGCACACATGCAGGTGCACAGGCAGACACACGGGGGCAGGGCACGCCTCTCGCACTCCATTCCAACACAGACCCGCCTACACTGGCTCCCTGGACAAGGAAGATCCAACCCCCACAACCCAGGCTTGTGAGCCTGGCCCAGCACCCCATCCCCCTGGGTATCAGAAAAGGCCCCTGAACCCAGGCCAAACCCAGCCTGGCAGTGGGAAGGCCCCTGCCACACCCATTACCTTTGGCAGTATAGAGATCCACCTCCACTGTAGGGTTCCCGCGGGAGTCCAGGATCTCCCGGGCCCAGATCTTCTCTATGGACATGATGGCTGGGATCTTCTCGGGTGGAAGGGAAGGAAGGAGAAAGATAAGAGGCTTAGAGGGGTGGAGCCTGAGATCAATGGGCGGGGCAGGAGGCTGGGAGGAATGGGAAAGAGGTTACTGCAGTGAGTGGGGGGTGGAAAGGGAGGTGCTGGCTGCAGTCTAGGGCTGTAGAAGGGATTCCCCCGCCCCCCTGGGAAGAGGAGAAGGTCAATGCAGTGAGGAAGGGGAGGTCACTGCAGTGGGGGGCTGGGAGAACACTGCAGTGGGGAGGGGAGGGGCACGACAGTGGTTCCCGCGCCTCTTTACAGCTTGGCCAGCCGGTGGGGTTCCCCCAGATCTCCTCATAGCAGAATGGCTGCCAGGCGTGCATTTCTCCTGGGAGCCAGGAAGAGGATGGGTTGCCTGGGCCTCTCTTCCAGAGCCCCATCCCTCCCCAACTTACCCCAGCTGCCAGAACTCTGCCCCCTCCCCAAGGTGCCACTCTCTCCCAAACGTGTGTCCCTCCTCTTCCCGAGAAAGACGCACACGGTAGAGGCATGGGGGGTGGAGAGGGTCCTGGGGAAGGCCCTGCAGTCCCTGGGGTTTGCAGCAGGAAGCGAAGAGGATAAGACCCGGTGGGGTGTGGCAGCTAGCTGGGCCTGTCCCCTGCGCCCCGACAGATCCCCACTTCTTCCATCCCTCCCCGATGCAGCTGAGGGGAGGAAGCGCAAATGGAGAGGGCGGCGTGGGGAAAAGCAGTAGAGGGGAGTCCAGCGAAAGTCTGGAGGAGCTGAGGAAGGGTGAGAGAAGACATTTCCCCAAATGCAAACCAAAAGGTACGCGCCAGGATAAAAATGTACCGCTGGGGAGGACTCCGAACTTAAGAAACAAATGGACAGAACCGTAGGTGAGGGCCAGCACCGGGCGAAAGGCAGGCAAGGGTGGAGAGGCGCAGTTCGAGAGAGGCGCGGAGAGGGCCAGAACGCGAGGGCCCGGGAGGGAGGGCGCCCAGGAGCAGGCGGCAGAGCAGGTGCGCAGCTGCCTGCACGCGGCGAGAGATGCGGAGAGGTGCGCAGCGGCACCGGGTAGAGGGGGCAGGGGCTCCGGGCCCGGCGGGGGCTTCACCTTGGGACTGCAGACTCAGCCGATGGTGGTGGCGGTGGCGGTGGCGACGGCAGCAGCACGGAGAGAGCGGGAGTGGCAGTGGCGGCGGCTGCGGCTCCCGGGCGGCGGGCGGGGGAGGCGCCTATAGGGCCGGGCAGGCGCATGTGACCCGGAGCCCCCGATGAGTCAGGAGCTGCCGGTGGAGGCGCACGTACGAGCGCGGGTGGGGGACCGACGCGGGTAGAGTGGGGGAGGGGGAAGGATGGAGGAAGGGTGGGGGCACCCACGATCTGGCCCCCCGCGCACACACGCGCTCATACCCATGGCCCGACCCACTCGACAGTAACTGGCAGAGCCGCACCCCTGTAGCCCACACTGCCAGTGAAGCCCAAGGCAGCCTCAATGCCTCACAAACCCGGTCAGACACAGGAGCATCACAGTGTCCCTTTATTGGAAATCCAAACACCCCAGCCGCCTCCACAAGTCTCTCCAGCCACTCCTACCAGCACCCCGTGGCCCACGCGGGCTTGGCTCCCACCCACGCCTGCCCGAGGGCGAACCTGGGCCTAGGTTCCAGGCTGTACTCAGGCCCAGGCACCCCACTCTGCAGCCCACACTGCCCAAAGGACCAGTACAGAGAGGAATCCTGGGCCTCAGGCTGTGATGAATTTCCAACTTTGGGGCAAAAAGAGGCAACCTCTGTCCGCCTGGAGCAGGTATGAATGTGCTGGCCTCCCTGGGAATCTGATCAGGTCTGAAGGCCAGCATCTTTGATCTCCTGGAGGTAGAAGACAGAAGTAAATAGGGGCAATAGGGGTGGCTCAGGCCTGTAATTCCAGCACCTTGGGAAGCCGAGGCAGGTGGATCACAGGAGAGGCAGGTAGATCACCATGTTGGCCAGGAGATCAAGACTATGCTGGCTAACATGGTGAAACTCCGTTTCTACTAAAAATACAAAAATTATCCAGGCTAGTAGTCCCAGCTACTCAGGAGGCTGAGGCGGGAGAATGCTTGAACCTGGGAGGCAGAGGTTGCAGTGGGCCAAGATCAGGTCACTGCACTCCAGCCTGGGCAGCAGAGCGAGACTCGTATCCAAAAAAAAGGAGTCAATAAAGCCTCTGCCCTATCTGAAGTGCCCGGCAGCCATCCTCATCTCTTCAGTCTCTTTCTGCCTCACTCTGCCCTCTTTTCTTCCCCCACCTCTGTGTCCTATTATTTTTAGCTTCAGATTTTTAGTGCAGGATCTTCCTCTCCTGCCTTCTCTGCTAGAGGCCCAGCTACATACACCACCAACCCCCCCCCCCTGCAGCCCCTGCCAGTCCCTTCCTAGCAGACTTCACTGTGTCAGGTATGGCTGCCCATCCCCCACCAACTCCTCTGCCTGCCACCCCAATTCTTTTTGCTTACTCTTCTGGCTTCCTAAGCCCTTTCTCAGCGGGTCCTAGGCCTTTCAGGTCCCTTTTCCTCTCCTTGACTCCTAAGCCTGTTCTCTCCTCCCCACCTCCTTCTGCAGCAGCTTCCCCTCTTGCTTCCTCCCCTACCTGCCCAGCCCTTGACCTCCTCCCATTGCCTCCCCGCAGGCTTTCTTACTATCTTTAGAGGCTAGAACTGCCAATAGATCAATGACTGTTCGGGTTCCAGATCACGCTGGGGTCAGGCTCCTGCTCCTGATTTTCCTTCAGCCTCCGCCGAATCTCATCAGCCTCAGCCTGTTCCTCCTCCTCATAGAATCCCTTGTCTAGACGTTCGAGGTATGGCATCTGCACCAGGGCCTCCTGGCGGTAGTTGGTGTCATCCGTGCATGGGTTATCCAGCAGCACCAAGGCTCGCAGCTTGGGCAGGTCTTGAAGCTTGGCCAGCTCCCCCAAGTTGGCCACCAAGTTGCCCCTGCCAGTGTGGTCAGGAGGGGTTGACGCAGGAATAATGGGCTTTGGTTGCCAGTTGCTAGGAATGGGGCCTCTGGGGGAATCTCCTACTGGGTTCCAGTTTTTCTAGAAACACTGACTATGAGGACTGGCCTGCCAAGCCTTGCCAGATTTACTGCAGAGGTACTGTTCGACCCCACTCTGGTCCTGCTTCTGCCCTTCAAGGAATCCCTAAGTGCCGTATTCTACTCTGTAATGTGTTCATGTTGGAGAATACATGCACTGTACTAGCTGGGGAGAAGGGGGCAAATTTTCCTCACAGGGAGAGACTTTTTCTGTGTCAGTCACACCTATACAGAGGGTAGAAGGCAGGACCCAGTCTCAGCAACACAGTGAGACCCTATCTCTACAAAAAATAAAACAATTATCTGGGTGTGGTAGCACACATCTGTAGTCCCTGCTACTTGGGAGGCTGAGGAGGAGGGATCGCTTGAGCCCAGGACTTCAAGGTTACAGTGAGCCTAGCTGGAGACACTGTACTCCACCCTGTAGGAGCTAGGTCAGTGGACAAGGAACTGGGATAAGCAGGAGTTTAGGGTGAGTGAGGGCTCTGTTGGTGCTCCCTGCAAAGGGAACCTAGGGCTAGGGATGGGTTGGAGACTCCCAGCTAAAGAATAAGCTTTATTATTCTTTATATGCCTCATTATATGCCTCATTATATGATCCTCTGTATTTATTTATTTTTATTTTTTTGAGACAGGGTTGGCTGGGCGGGGTGGCTCATGCCTGTAATTCTAGCACTTTGGGAGGCCAAGGTGGGTGGATCACCTGAGGTCAAGAGTTCAAGACCAGCCTGGCCATCATGGTAAAACCCCATCTTAAAAAAAAAAAAGAAAGAAAAAAAAAAAGACAGGGTCTCACTATGTCACCCAGGTTGGGGGTGCAGTGGCATGATCATATAGCCCACTGTAGCCTTGAACACCTGGGCTCAAGCAATCCTCTCACCTCAGCTTCCTAAGTAGCTCCAGGCGTGTTTCACCACACTTGGCTAATTTTTAAATTTTTTTGTAGAGACTGGGTCCTTACTATGTTGCCCTGGCTGGTCTGGAACGCCTGGCCTCAAGCAGTCCTCTCGCCTTCGCCTCCCAAAGTGCTGGGATTATAGGTGTGAGTCACCATGCCTGGCCTTTTATTTTCATGTTCTGGCTTTAAGCCTTTATGAAATCATATTTAAGAATTTCACCCTGATCTCATGGTCGTATTGAGACTCATGCAGTGTTTCTCACCAGGAAGGCTACAGGCACTTTGTACTGGACTCTGCTGTACACTGTAGGATGCTTAGCATCTCTAGCCCCAGAGGCACCTCCCAATCGAGACACCCTCACTCCCTCCACACCCACACCCAACTTACTCTCAAACAGCCCCAGTTAATAGCCACTCAGGAAAGGTCCATCATGCCTGTCTAGACCATTAACAGGAGCATGGCACATACACACGCCCCACCAGATCACTGTGGCAGAGTTCATGAACGAGAGATTGCCTAGGGGTCAGGATGAGAGTTGGGGCTTCCAGATGCAACCACCTCTCCCTACTTGGAGATGCTCTTTCCATTACCAGCTCAAGAACCTGATCTTGTTGACTGAGGAAAGAGGCCGTTTTTTGCTTAAAGAAACACACATGAAATCCTCCATCAGACAAGAGTTGCTGATCTTCAGTGCTTTTCTACCAAAAGATTTTCTTACAAATGTCTTCTCTCTCCAAATCTGAGCACATCTTGTGTTTTATGTCAATAGAAAGGCCATCCCTTACAGGTGGGGCTCAGGAGAAGAAAGGCAGGAAATGGGAAGGGGAATTGGGACCCAGGAAATGGAGAAGGGCAGTGAAACTTACATGGGATAGGGCAAAGAAAAAAGAATTGGAACCAGACTGTGATCCCCTTAGGAACAGGGATCACTCTGATTCCTTTATTTCTTTCAGGGACAGCTCACTCTGTCACCCAAGCTGGAGTGCAGTGGCACAATCATGGCTCACTGCAACCTTGAACTCCTGGGCTCAAGTGATCCTCCTACCTCAGCCTCCTGAGTAGCTGAAACCACAGGTGTGCACCACCAGGCTCAGTTAACTTTTATTTTTAATTTAATATTTTAATTTTTATTTAATTTTTTTTTTGTTTGTTTTGTTTTTGAGGCAGGGTCTGGCTCTGTCACCCAGGGTGGAGTGCAGTGGCGTGATCTCAACTCACTGCAAACTCCACCTCGAGGCTCCAGCGATATCCTCCTGCCTAAGCCTTCTGAGTAGCTGGGATTATAAGTGCCTGCCACCACACTTGGATAATTTTTGTATTTTTGGTAGAGGTGGGATTTTGCAATGTTGCTCAGACTAGTCTTGAACACCCAGGCTTCCCAAAGTGCTAGAACTACTAGGCATGAGTCGCCGTGCCGGGCCATTATTTTTCCTTTTGTAGAGACGTGGTCTCACTATGTTGCCCAGGCTGGTCTTGAACTCCTGGCCTCAAATGATCCTCCCTCCTAAAGTGCTGGGAGTACAGGCATGAGCCACCATGCCTGGCCTCTGATTCCTTTCAATGTCCCCAGAACACAGTACAAGGCCTGGCACATAGCACATTTTCAATAATTATCGATTGAATGAATAAGAATTCAGAGGTCACAAGCTATAAGGGATTTAGTGTTGCATTTAGGACTCAGTGCAGAAGAAAGTAAGGAAAGCAGGCGTGAGAATCAGAGAGGAGGATAAGGTGAGGACCTGGCTGTGTGCTAGGACTGGGGGATCGGGCCAGGGAGGAACACAGACTCAAAAGCTGCACCTGGTCAGGGGCTTGGAGGGGGTGCATACCTCAGGTTGAGGTACTGCAATGATTTCATTTCCTTGGAGAAGCCACTTAGAGTGTCAATCTGGTTGTCTCGAAGATGCAAAGTGGTGAGATTGCTCAGGTTCTCCAGGCCTTCCACCTTCTTCAGCAAGTTTTGGGCCTCGACCCCCAGGACACCGTGCGTTGATTGAGAGGGGAGCAGGGATAGGGAAGAAAGTGAGGTCAGAATGAGATGAAGCAAAAGAAGAAACCCAAGAGGTAGAGCAGGAGGAGTGGAAGAAGGGAGTGGGGTGAGTGGAGATCGGTTTAGAAAGTACGGAAGTTCAGGAGAAGCTGCCATCCCAGAGAAAGGTCAGCAGTAACCCCTACCACTCACCCCACCAATGCCACTGGGGATGGAGGAGATGCTTCAACCCACTCCCTACCCGGCCCAGGAGCCCCCATGCCACCACTGAGAATTGGCATCAGCACCATCCCAGAATAATGAAGCTTAAGAGTCTAAAAGACTAGCCTGGCGGGATGGCTCACGCCTGTAATCCTAGCACTTTAGGAGGCTGAGGCAGGGGGATCACAAGGTCAGGAGTTCGAGACCAGCCTGGTCAGCAGGGTGAAACCCCGTCTCTACTAAAAATACAAAATTTAGCCAGGTGTGGTGGCAGGTGCCTGTAATCCCAGCTACTCAGGAGGCTGAGGCAGGAAAATTGCTTGAACCCAGGAGATTGCACCATTGCACTCCAGCCTGGGCCACAGAGCAAGACTGTCTCAAAAAAAAAAAAAGAATCTAAAAGACTAAACATTTCAGTGGCTCTGTGGCGTGTGTGCGTGTGTGTGTTTGTGTGTGTGTATACAGGTTTTCATCCACAGTCCCTAGCTTATAACCCCCATAACTCTTGTTGCAGTCTCCTTATAATGTTGGGTGTGCTGGGCCTCAGGGGCAGGTCTCAGGAACCTTCTCCTGCTTTCTTTTCACCTGCGCCAAGGGAAGATGTTAATCTTTCCCCCTTTCTGATTGTGGTTCTTAAAACCCTCCCCAGAGAGCACCTCCCCAGTTCCCCAGGGGAAGGAATGCTAACATCCTGAAGCTTCCATGAAAACCCAAGAGGACTGGGTCCAGAGAGCTTCTGAGCAGTGAAAGCTCCTAGAGGAGCCAGGTGTCGTGGCCCACGCCTATAATCCCAGCACTTTGGGAGACTGAGGCAGGCAGATCACGAGGTCAGGAGATCAAGACCATCCTGGCCAATATTGTGAAACCCCATCTCTACTAAAATACAAAAAAAAAAAAATTAGCCAGGCGTGGTGGTGTGCACCTATAGTCCCAGCTATTCGGAAGGCTGAGGTAGGGGAATCGTTTGAACCCGGGAGGCGCAGGTTGCAGCGAGTCAAGATTGTGTCACTGCACTCCAGCCTGGTGACAAAGCAAGAATCTGCCAGAAAGAAAGAAAAGAAGGAAAGAAAGAAAGTAGGCAAGCTCCTGGAGGCTGATGCATACAGGAAAAGCATGGAGCACCACACCCATTTCCCCATACTTTGCCCTACGCATCTCTTCATCTGTATCGTTTGCCATTGCAATAAACTGGTAAAAAGCCACTTCAGCAAATTGAATCCATGGGAACCAGCTTCAAGTTGAAGCTGGTGTGTCAGAAGCTCCAGAGGCTTGGACTTGCAGCTGGTATCTATGGGTGGTGTGGGGGTCATTCTTGGGAACTGATGGATAGATGGTGCCGGAACCGAATTGAGGTAATCCAGCTGGTATCTACTACTTGGTGTATGGGGAGAAATCCCCACACCTTCTGGTCCTGAAAGTCTCATGTTGATGATTTTTGTGGTGGTAGTCGGAGAGCTAAGCAAAAACCCAGTTTGAGAGGAGAGTTTTCCTAAAACATTTCCATAGCCTGATGTTTGTACCTCAGTTATGGCTCATTTTGCTGCTACCTTAATTACAAAGTAAATTATCTCTCTATTATGCACACATTATATACTATCAGCCCTGCTAGGTGGCTCTGTATCTCCACAGCATCTGGCACCAACTATGGGCTTGATAATAATACTAGTTATCATCATGATGATGAAGTTAGTAGCTGAACCTACTAGAAAACCAGGCATCCTGGCCTGGTGCAGTGGCTCGCACCTGCAATCCCAGTATTTTTTGGGAGGCCGAGGTGGGTGGATCACAAGATCAGGAGATCGAGACCATCCTGGCCAACATGGTGAAACCCTGTCTCTACTAAAATACAAAAAAAAAAAAAAATGGCTGGGTGTGGTGGCGGGCGCATGTAGTCGCAGCTACTGGGGAGGCTGAGACAGAAGAATCGCTGAACCTAGAAAGTGGAGGTTGCAGTGAGCTGAGATTGCACCATTGCACACCAGTCTGGCGAAAGAGTAAGACTCTGTCTCAAAAAAGACAAAGAACAAAAGAAAAGAAAGAAAAGAAGACAGACATCCTGACCCCCAGGACAGTGCCCTCTTCCCCGCACCACCCTATGGCCCAGTGAGCTACCAGGTAGAGGTTCTTCAGCTTAGGAAGGTTGATTCCCAGGGTGCTTTCCAGCTGGTTCCCCCGAAGCTCCAGTGTGTGCAGGCTGATCAGCTTCTGGGGGTCCAGACCTGTCACCATGTGGATGTTGTTCCCTGGAGAGGAGGGTTTTAAGAGCTCAAAGGGCCACTCCCAATGTTCAGCATGAGAGCCTGAATTTGGGGAGCCTCTAAATCATCCTACCCTGGACATCCTCAAAGCAGGGTAGATAGTGAGGAAGGACAGTTCCAGTCTTAATATCTCCAGAGCCCTGGGGCAAGTGGTGTGGTAGTCCCGGGTCCTGATGGACATCTCCATCTAGGCCTTTGAAGAGTGAATGAAGCAGTTGGCAAGTCTAATTCCCTCTCCTTCTTCAAGTCTTTGCTCAAACGTCATCTTCTCAGTGATGCTTGTCCTAACCAGTCCATTTGGCATTACCACCTGTGTCCCCATTTCTCTTATTCTGATCTATTTTTTCCAAGGAACTTATCTCCTTTTAACATGCTACATGAATTTAATTATTGTGTTTGTTGTTACTTGTCTGTCTCCCCCAACTAGAATATGAGCTATATGAGAATAGGGATGTTCCTATATGGTTGGCATGTAGAACTTTCATAATGAATCATAATGCGTATATGAATGAATGCACACTGCCATATGCCATAGCTAAGGATCATACTGCCCACTTCTGTTGGCCTCAGGTTAGGAAGGAAAGAATTTTGTGTGGCCCATCCTAAGGACCCACCTTTGAGATTCACGCTTCCCAGACGAGGATGTGAGATGCCTTCAGTGTCAGTAATCTGGTTATAAGCAAAACTAGCAGTCTGCAGGTAGGGCAGTTCATTCAGCTGGGCACTCCGCAGCCGATTGCCATCAGCCTTGAGCCAGAGCAGGTGGGTGAGGTGGTTGAGTGGAGACAGGTCTGTCAGGTGGTTCTCAGAGACATCTACATAGCGCAGATGGATGTAGGAGCGCAGCAAGTAGATGTCTGTCAGGTCCCTAGGAGATGGAAGACGGAGAAGGAACCAGGGTTAGAGTGAAGAACCCAGCAAGAACTGGCAGAGCTGCTAACGAGGAAGGAAATATGGAGATGGCTTATAATGGGGAGAAGAATGGGCAACCAATGGGAGGGGAGAAGGGTAAGAGAAGGTAGGTGGGTTCTTAAATAGTGGACAGAGAGACCTTGTGTCTGTGAAGGACAGAGAACCCATACTCTGAAAGACAAATGAGGGAGTCCAGCAGGAATCCCCACATATTCTCAGCCTCCAATTCCAAAGGTCAGCTTTGACAGGGGAAGTGTCAGAGCTCCTGAAAAGTAAATTCTGTCCTTCCCTTTCCAGTAGGCATGAGAAGGGTCAAACTCTCAGCAAGAACACCCAGGAATGGCAGTGGGAAAGGAAATAGGGGCCCCACAATCTCACAGTCCTCATCTGGTCCGCTATAAACTCACCTCTCTTTAACCTCCAGCTTGACATAAGCATGAGCCAGCCCACTGCCAGTCTTACAGAGCAGAGAAAGCCCTTCCTTCATCATGTCCTCCGTGAGGGGGTTGGGCAGCCACTGCAGGAGGAAGTGGAGTACGGCATCTCTCCCCTGCCCAACCTTGCCCCTCAGCCCTTGGACCCCTCCTTGTCCAGGCTCTCACTTCCTCAGGGAATTCTTCCCCCTCTTTTCTGTAGTCCTCCTCCTCCTCTGTCTCCTTCTCATCTTCTTCTTTCTCAAAATCGTCCTGGTCCAGCTCAAAGTCTTCTAGATCATCTTCATCTGACATCTTTCTTCCCTCCTGAAGACTCTGGAGTCAGATAAGCTCAGTCCTCCTCCTGAGAGAGAAGGTCTCCTCAGCTTTCCCCAGCCTTCAGCTCCTCATCGTCATTGACACAAACCGCTCCCATCACTCCCATCGCCCCTGACCCACCAACTCTCCATCACCCCCATCGCCCCTGACCCACCAACTCTCCATCACCCCCATCGCCCCTGACACACCAACTCTCCATCACCCCCATCTCCCCTGACCCACCAACTCTCCATCACCCCCATCTCCCCTGACCCACTAACTCTCCATCACCACATCACCCCTGACACACCAACTGTCCATCACCCCATCGCCCCTGACCCACCAACTCTCCATCACCCCCATCTCCACTGACACACCAACTCTCCATCACCCCCATCTCCCCTGACTCACCCCCATCTCCCCTGACCCACAAACTCTCCATCACCACATCACCCCTGACCCACCAACTGTCCATCACCCCATCGCCCCTGACCCACCAACTCTCCATCACCCCCATCTCCCCTGACACACCAACTCTCCATCACCCCATCTCCCCTGACCCACCAACTCTCCATCACCCCCATCTCCCCTGACCCACCAACTCTCCATCACCACATCACCCCTGACCCACCAACTCTCCATCACCCCCATCTCCCCTGACCCACCAACTCTCCATCACCACATCGCCCCTGACCCACCAACTCTCCATCACCACATCGCCACTGACCCACCAACTCTCCATCAGCACATCGCCCCTGACCCACCAACTCTCCATCACCACATCGCCCCTGACCCACCAACTCTCCATCACCACATCGCCCCTGACCCACCAACTCTCCATCACCACATCGCCCCTGACCCACCAACTCTCCATCACCACATCGCCCCTGACCCACCAACTCTCCATCACCACATCGCCACGACCCACCAACTCTCCATCACCACATCGCCCCGACCCACCAACTCTCCATCACCACATCGTCCCGACCCACCAATTCTCCATCACCACATCGCCCCGACCCACCAACTCTCCATCACCACATCGCCCCGACCCACCAACTCTCCATCACCACATCGCCCCGACCCACCAATTCTCCATCACCACGTCACCCCTGACCCACCAACTCTCCATCACCATGTCACCCCTGACCCACCAACTCTCCATCACCACGTCACCCCTGACCCACCAACTCTCCATCACTCCATTGCCCTGACCCACCAACTCTCCATCACCACGTCACCCCTGACCCACCAACTCTCCATCACCCCATTGCCCCGACCCACCAACTCTCCATCACCCCATTGCCCCGACCCACCAACTCTCCATCACCACGTCACCCCTGACCCACCAACTCTCCATCACCATGTCACCCCTGACCCACCAACTCTCCATCACCCCATTGCCCTGACCCACCAACTCTCCATCACCCCATTGCCCCGACCCACCAACTCTCCATCACCCCATTGCCCTGACCCACCAACTCTCCATCACCACGTCACCCCTGACCCACCAACTCTCCATCACCCCATTGCCCCGACCCACCAACTCTCCATCACCCCATTGCCCCAACCCACCAACTCTCCATCACCACGTCACCCCTGACCCACCAACTCTCCATCACCCCATTGCCCTGACCCACCAACTCTCCATCACCCCATTGCCCCGACCCACCAACTCTCCATCACCCCATTGCCCTGACCCACCAACTCTCCATCACCACGTCACCCCTGACCCACCAACTCTCCATCACCCCATTGCCCTGACCCACCAACTCTCCAACACCCCATTGCCCTGACCCACCAACTCTCCATCACCCCATTGCCCCGACCCACCAACTCTCCATCACCCCATTGCCCCGACCCACCAACTCTAGGCTTCTTTCCTCATCCCTGTGAACATCTCACTTTGGCTCTCAACCTCCACTTCATACTTTCCACTGAGGACCCTCTCCCTTCAGGATGTTGCCCCACACCCCCAGGCCTTTCCTGTCCTCACACTGGGCTCCTCCAGCAGCTCAGTGTCCCTGCTTCCTGGGCTTCCCTCTCCCGTATTCTTCCCACCTCCCACTTAAGCCATGCTCTCCAGTCTTCCCTACCAATTCCTCCTCCTTCTCTCCTCTTAGCTCCTATTGCGCCATCCCTAACCCCTGCTTCGTTCATTTCTTCTACTTCGCCTTCCCCACTGGGCCCATTTCCTTGGGCCCTCTGACACTAGCCTAAAGCGCAGTCTCCAACCCTCCCACTCAATTCCTCTTAGCAGAGGGGCTCAGACCCTGGTTCTGCTCAGCCAGAAGAAGCTCTGGAGAGGCCCTTGGTCCCGAGAGGGAAGGACTGTTGAGCAAGCGGGGCAAGGGGAAGGAGGGGTTGTGTACTACTGTTATGGCAACGGGGGCGGGGCACTTAGCTACTGCCGCTTGCCGACGTTGGGAGCAGAGCGGCGACTAACTGATGGCGCAAACCGCCGGGGAGGGGATTGATCAATAGTTGCCTGGTTACGAGGCCAATTTCCCAATCCCGGGAACACTTATGAGGCGCGAAAAAGGCGTCGGGCCGCTAATTGGCGGAGGGACAAAAAAAAAAAAAAAGTGGGCAGGGCTGAGAAGGGGGCGGGGCTAGCCATTACGTCACCCAAGACCCTAAAGGAACCGAACATCTTCAATGCAAACGTGTTGTGAATTCAGGAGAAACGTCCTCAAGAAGCAAAAAGGAAAAACAAGAAGCACCAAGATAAGGGATCTTTTCCCCTTCGCCCTATAGTTTCTGCTCATTAGTTATTTCAGGTAGACCTTTGGAGGGTGACTTGGAGCAGAAGGAGCCCAGGCCTAATTATCTGGGTTGGAGTCTTGGCAGACTGCATTTACTAGCTAAACGTACCCAAGACTCTCATCTGTAGAATAAGCTTAACTATATCAACTGACAGGGATCCAGTATGAGTTATCCTGGACTGGTTTGATGCAAATCTTTTAGTGGGTAGGAAGGCAGAAAATTCAACATCTGTCCGCTAAAATACTCTTGATCCAACGTTGGTTATATCAATAATCAACAGGAACTGGCACAGCCAGACCCAGACACTCAGTCCTGTCTGACCTGTTGAAGGATGTGAAAAAGAGATTGAGATGCAATAAATATTGCTGCTGGAGAGTTTGTGCGACACATTGGGTCAAACGTCTTTACAACTGATATTTAATCTCCACAACAGTCCTGTGAGACAGCCATTCGAAAGCAGATACTGAGGCTCAGTGAGGTTAAGATGTCACAATTCCTGCCTGGGGACAGGCGGATGTTACTAATCTTGTTGTGGAATCTAATGTAAATAAAACAATCGGGTAACCAGGTAAGATGCCATTTGATTAATTGTTAAATTGTGCCCACAGACTTTATATAACATCCAATCCAAAGTGGGCTGGGCGTGGTGGCTCACACCTGTGTTCCCAGCACTTTGGAAGGCTGAGATGGACAAATCGCCAGGTCAGGAGTTCGAGACCAGCCTGGCCAAAATGGTGAATTCCCGTCTCTACTAAAAATAGAAAAAATTAGCTGGGTGTGGTGGTGGGCACCTGTAATCCCAGGTACTTGAAAGACTGGAGCAGGAGAATCACTTGAACCTGGGAGGGGGAGGTTGCAGTGAGCTGAGATCACGCCACTGCACTCCAGAGTTGAGACTTCGTCTCCAAAAAACAAACAAACAAACAAAAAAACATCCAAAGTGGTCTGATGGAAGATGTGCTGGGCAAGAAATCAGGAAGTATTAGCAGGGCAAGGTGGCTCACATCTGTAATCACAGCATTTTGGGAGGCCGAGGTGGGTGGATCATGAGGTCAGGAGATTGAGACCATCCTGGCCAACATGGTGAAACCCTGTCTCTATTAAAAATACAAAAATTAGCCGGATGTGGTGGCGCATGCCTGTAGTCCCAGCTATTTGGGAGGCTGAGGCAGAAGAATCACTTGAACCCAGGAAGCAGAGGTTGCAGTGAGCCAAGATCATGCCATTGCACTCCACCTTGGCGAGAGAGGGAGACTCCATCTCAAAAAAGAAAACAAAAAAGAAATCAGAAAGTATTAACTCCTGCCCAGGCCAGCTTGGAGGAATGTGGTTAATAGGCAAATCTGTATACTTGGTGTCATGGAACCAGCAGGGACTTCAAAGTCAGAGACACCAGCTTCAAAACCCAGCTCTACCACTTAATACCTGTGTGTTCTTCAGCAGGTTATGTAATCTTACTGAGGTTTAATTTCCACACTTGTGAAGTGGGGATTAAAATGTCCACCTGTAAGGATTGTTAAGGAATTAAAAGGATAATGTGAGTAAATCGCCTTGCACTTAGTTGACCTTCAGTAAACATTTTCCTGCTCCTCCCCACCCCTGGCCTGTGTTGTCGGTACTGGGATTGTTATGTGGGAAAAGAAACAACAAACCTGAAAGCACTCTGAAGAGTTAGGTGAGCTATACAAATGAAAGTTATTGTATTGTTGGAGTGTGGAGAATGGAAAAATCCATGTGGTTTCAAGTAGTCAAAAAAATAGATATGATTTTCCTTGGCCAAGAAGAAAGAGGAAGAAACATTAGATGGGAGGAAAAGGCATGATGTAAGGGTTAGGAAGGTTTCCTTGAACATATACTTTTGTTATTTTGTTTTTATTTTTCTTTTGAAACAGTCTCCCTCTGTCCACCCAGGATGGAGTGCAGTGGAGCAATCACAGCTCACTGCAACCTCCACCTCCTGGGCTCAAGCAATCCTCACGCCTCATGGGTACCTGGGAGTACAGGTGTGCACCACTATGACCAGTTAATTTTCTTGTAGTTTTTGTAAAGGCAGGATTTTGCCATGTTGCCCAGGCTAGTCTTGAACTCCTGGGCGCAAGGGATCCGCCCACCTTGACCTCCCAAAGTGCTGGGATTACAGGCATGAGCCACTGCACCCTGCTACGCTTTTGTTAAGCACTTAATCTGTCCATAGCTCTAAATGCTTGGTACTCCATGACAGTAAAGCGCAGAAGTTCTTATCTTTTATCTTCAAGAGGCATACAGTCCAGTGACAAGGTTAAATACACAAGTAATTCAATATAATGAGACGTTATAGTAATGATACCCAACATTTATAGAGGTTTTACTAAGTGCTAGGGATCATTGTAAAGAACATGCATATGCATGATAGCATATATTTGGGGCACCTGTGATAAGGCTTGGAGAAGAAAGAGCTCCATGCCTGTGCAAAGGAAGCAGGTGGCTCTGCTGGCTGGAACAGTAGGTGCCGTGGGGGGCTGGAATATGCTAGAAGCAATAAACAGACTTGGATCACACTGAAGAATCTTGACTTTATCCTGAAAGCTGTGGGGAGCCATTGAAAGTTTTATTTTGTGTTTAGTTGGCAAGGATGGAAGTTACATTGTGTAATGAGAGCTAGATATTCCACAACATCCTTGATATTTTTCCCTGATTGGTTGGTCTAGATAGAGTCTCTTTCAATTATAAAAGTAATATTTAGGTCAGGTGCAGTGGCTCACCCCTGTATAATCCCAGCCCTTTGGGAGGCTGAGGCAGCTGGATCACCTGAGGTCGGGAGTTGGAGACCAGCCTGACCAACATGGAGAAACCCTTGGGAGGCTGCGGCAGGAGAATCACTTGCACCCAGGAGGCAGAGATTTCAGTGAGCCAAGGTCACACCATTATACTCCAGCCTGGGCAACAGGAATGAAAATCCATCTAAAAAAAAAAAAGTAATATTTAATTAATATAAAAATGTAAATAATAGGCTGACGCCCTTTTCAGCCTCAGCCCACCTACACCCAAGTGAATAAAAAAGTAAATAATAGAGAAGTATATACAAAGGAACACAGAGGTCCACAGTCTCCCTCAGCATCAGTCTCATTTTGTATTTTTTTGACACAGAGTCTTACTGTTTCCCAGGCTGGAGTGCAGGGTGCGATCTCAACTCACGGCAACCTCTGCCTCCAGGGTTCAAGCAATTCTCTGCCTTAGCCTCCCTAATAGCTGTGATTACAGGTGCCCACCACCACGCCTGGCTAATTTTTGTATTTTTAGTAGAGATGGAGTTTCACCATCTTGGCCAGGCTGGTCTTGAACTCCTGACCTCGTAATCCACACTTCTCAGCCTCTCAAAGTGCTGGGATTACGGGTGTGAGCCACTACACCCAGCCAGATATACATTTTTTAAAACAGAAGTGGAATCAATCCCAAATATTGTTCATCAGCTGGATTTTTTTCATCTATTTATTAGATGAAATATTAGAATCTAATAATTAGAAAAAAATCTAATTAGATTTTTAGATTAGGCTGGGCGAGGTGGCTCATGCCTGTAATTCCAGCACTTTGGGAGGCTGAGGCAGACAGATGACCTGATGTCAGGAGTTTGAGACCAGCCTGGCCAGCATGGTGAAACCCCGTCTCTACTAAAAGTACAAAAAATTAGCCGGGCATGGTGGCACGCACCTGTAATCCCAGCTACTTAGGAGGCTGAGACAGGAGAATTGCTTGAACCTGGGAGGCAGAGGTTGTAGTGAGCCGAGATCAAACCACTGCACTCCAGCCTGGGCGACAGGGCAAGACTCTGCCTGGCGGGAGGGGATCTCTGCTTTCACTGCCTTGCTTTGTTTGTGTGTTTTGTCCAATTCTTTGTTCAAAATTCCAAGAACCTGGACAACTACCCTAAAAGGTAACAACTGGAGCGCAGTAGCTTTTCGCAGGGACAACTGATGCAGAGCAGGTGAGCTCCCAAATCTGCGATTAGCCCGATAAGACTCGTGGTTCTTTCCTGAGCATGGGGTAGAAGAAATGGCTTGAGGATGCAGTTTTACAGCTCCATGACTGCTCCTGCAGAGCAAGCCCTCGCTGGAGGCAGAGTGTGGAGAGCAGCAACTCGGGGGAACTTCAGCAGTCACAGTTATATTGACTGTTAATTAAATGCAAATTAAGGGGTGGGTTATTCAGAAATTTCCAGAAAAGGGGTGGTAAATTCCAGGTTGTTATCAAGGAAAAAGGCAGTAACTTCTGGATGTCGCCATGGCAATGGTAAACTGTGGTGGGCATGGCTTACAGAGAATTTCTTTCTGTGCCTCTTCCCTGTTTCAGCCAGTCTTGAATCTAATCCAAAGTTGAGGTCCTGCTTCCTAGCCCCAATCATTGTGCACTACAGCCTTAAACTCCTGGGCTCAAGCCATCCGTCTGCCTCAGCCTCTCAAGTAGATGGGACTACAGCTGTATGCCACCAAGGCTGGCTAGATTTTTAACTGTTCCTTATTGATGGATATTAACTTTAAAAAAAAAAAAAGTCAATATTACAAATACCACTGTTTAAATCCCCGTAGATATATCTTTGCTCTTCTGCATGAGCGCTCTGGAGTAATATTTCTCAAATGTTAATGTGTATAGAAATTGCCTGAGGATCTCATTGAAATGTAATCCTCTCAAGTGATACTGATGCTCTTGATTCATGGAGTACACATTGAATAATATGACTA